TCGATTTTTTTTTTATATTACTTTTTTTTTATTATTATTTATTGGTTTTATTAACTTTGCTGCTTCAAGCTTAATATCTTCTATCATTGGTTCAATAACATGTAGCAGAGGAAACAATACAACAAAATATTTCACTACGTTATTCGCCGGGTGGGCAGCTCCCGGATCATGACCCTTTGTAGTCGACGTCTTCCTCTAGCAGCAGGCAGTGCTCTGGCCAGCGGGTTGGGGTGTCTCAATAACCTGTCTCGGTGACGGGCAGCAAGGGAATTAATAACATCTCCCACAGCAGGGACATGGAGTTCTCTCCGTATGTCTACGTTCCTTATATACCACCCGGCATGAGTGATGGTCCGTAGGAACTTTGCTTGAAAGGTCTGGATCCTTCTCAGGTGTGTTCTGGTTGCTGTGCCATAAACAGCCACTCCGTATTTCCAGGTCGGAGCCAGCAGGGACTGGTAGAGTCTTGCACTTGAGACTCATCTCGGATCATTTTATATCAAAACCCAGTTTTCCAACAATTTCTTGATATAAATAAATAATAGTAAAAAGTTCAAGCCTAAACCCAATTTTTATCAGTACGGAGTTAGTCCTCTCCACCCATAGATTAGGTTTTTTGAATTCGTTCTCAACATCTCATATCGTGTATTCAAAAGTGGCGAATTAGTACGAACTCTGACAAAGAAATAATGATGGTACGCAAGGTCATTGACCAAAAGCTTTGGTCTGAAATTATGGGAATTACATATTAACAAACCAAGTCAGAATGGTTCTGGAAATTCCAACGATGACAATACGGCACGAAGAGCATTTTCGGACTTTAAAATATTTGCCTCAATATTTGAACTGGATGAAGAGCTTTTACTCAAACTACATATCATTTGAATAGTTTTATCATGCGAATATGACGTTTGTTTAAATAAATACTTATCAAACATCAAAGAAGAGTTAAAAATTACACTCATTGCCAAGTGAAGATATTGCACTTTTAGTTTCTCCAAAACCAGAAGATGCAGCCCAAGTATATAATGTTGAAGGCGAGTTTAAAAGTATACCATATCTTGATTTTGAATTAGAAGAGGAATGTTTATATTAATACAAATTTATGTACTTATTTTTAAGTTTTCGTTAATTAAGCTATGTTATAAAATGTAAAATATAAAAATATACAAATTTTCTAACAATTGTGGATAAAAAAATGAAGAAACAAGATCTACGGATCGCTTCTATGGCAGCTATATGATATAGTTGTCCGACTTTCATAATATTGTTACCAAAATTTTGAAATAATACTAAAAGCTCATGTCTCAAAGTAAATGAAAATACGTTGAAAAACAACGAAGTTATAATTTTTTCTATTACTTTCCCTATCGTTCCTATGGCAGCTATAAGATATAGTCTTCCGATTTTCGTAAAATTTATACCAAAATTCTGAAATAATACCAAAAGCTTATGTCTCAAAGTTGATTAAAATACGTTGAATAACAACGAAGTTATAATATTTTTTCGATTAATTTCCCGATCGTTCCTATGGCAGCTATAAGATATAGTGGTCTGATTTTCATTTCATTTTTACCAAAATTCTGGAATAATATAAAATGGCTATATTTTAAAAATGATGGAATAATATCGAAAAACAGCCAAGTTATATTTTTTTTTTTTCTAAAAATGTATCGAACATTTGTATGGCAGCTATATGATATAGTCGTCCGATCCAGCCCGTTCCGACATATATAGTAGTGAGAGTATATAGAAGACTATATGCAAAGTTTCATTCAGATAACTTTAAAACTGAGGGACTAGTTTGCGTAGAAACGGACAGACGGACGGACAGACGGACATGGCTAGATCGACTCGGCTGTTGATGCTGATCAATAATATATATACTTTATGGGGTCGGAAAGGTCTCCTTCACTGCGTTGCAAACTTCTGATTGAAATTATAATACCCTGCAAGGGTATAAAAATATTCAATTAAATGAATTTTTGGCTTAATTTTTAATTTTTTTTTTTTATTTTGGCTTTGGTATTGGTAGCTTATGTATATTTTAAAAGTTTCTTGGCCTGATCACATTAAAATATGAAGTTATGGGGAAATAAGTAAAATAGGATCGCGAATATCTATTAAAATACGATAATTAGTTCTCTTTCAAAAAAAATCACCGTGGTACTACGAAAATGTTATTCTTAAATCGCACATACATAAAAACATAAATTAATCGTTTGAAGATTGGGCCAAACATAAGGGCCGAAATGCACCGAATACATTTTTCAGTGAACATTAAATTCATTACATGGACCAAAAAAAAAGTGAAATCATTAACAAACGTCTGTCAAATTTGTTATATAGATAGAGCACGAAATAAGAAACAAGTGTAGTGCCGATTTAATACGCCTCTTGACAAGAGCTGGGAAAAAATCGATGTCAACATCGATTAAATCGATTCTTTCTTTTTGGTCGATGCATCGATTCGGTTTAGAAAGAATCGATTAATCGACAAGGTCCATGCTTTGCGCTATCTTTGCATTTCAGCTAGCTCAACAGAAGCGGAGCGAGTATTTAGTAAGGCTGGATGTATTATAACCGATAGACGTTCCGCTTTAAAACCCAAAACTTTAAATAAGCTCGTTTTTGCCAACAAAAACCAGTGGCTAGTCTAGAATTTTTATATTTATTTTCATGTTTATAATTTGAAAATATTTTCTTTTGTTTTTTGTGATCTCATTGAATTGATCTCATTTCATTTAATTTAATTTTTCTGGAAATAACCAGTAAATAATTGATTTTGATTTTTTGTTTTTATAATATGAAAATATTTTGTTTCTTATTTTATGAACCTTTATTTAAAATATTTTTAGTTAAACTAGGTTACTTTACTTAAAATAAAGGCTTTGAATAATTTTATTTAAAATAAATAATTTTATTTAAAATAAATAATTTTATTTAAAATAAGGATTCATAAAATAAGAAACAAAATATTTTCTTAAAAAAAAAAATCAAAATCAATTAAGGGGGTCTTCTCATTGGGCAACTTTTTTTTTTGATTTTTTTTTTTACATTTATTTATAGCTTGGGATGGTGTGTATATGTCCCCAAAAAGATTTTTAGAAATTCGAAATACTTTAGAAGATACAGCCTTTTTTGTGAAGCAAGATCTATGCAAAATGAGCTTTTTTCAAACTTCAAACGCGTTTATCTCGAAACCACGTTTTTCGAACTGGCGGCCATGATATCTCCAGTTCAACAGAACCGATTTTAATGAAACAAAGTGGAATCGACGCAGAATTGTCACCATTTTCGGCTGACGGAACAGATTTTTTTTTAATTTTTTTTTTCTTTTTTTTTTTTTACACTAAACTACAAAAAAAACGTCCGAAATCGAATTTTTTTTTTTGAATGGCCGCCATTTTGTTTTAAAAATTTTTTAAAAAAATCTGTTCCGTCAGCCGAAAATGACATCTATTCTGATTATAACCCCATTTTTATTTTTCATTTCGGACGCTCTGGAGACCCTGAATCGTGGCCGCCAGGACGACACCTTTTTTTTCGACCACCAAGTTTAAAGTCTCATTACTCTTTGAACAACCGTCGTATCGAGGCAAGAACAACTTTTTTAGTTACTTTGAACATTTTTGAATACAATAAATAAAAAAAGTTTTCAATTATTCTTTGCGTTTTCAAATAAGAATTTTATTAAAAAGGGTCCAAAAAACGGCTTTTGAATGAGAAGACCCCCTTAATCACTGGTTATGGCCAGAAAAATTTATTTGATTTATTATGAATACATTTTGGGTTTATTGTTTAAGAATGAATATGTAAATAATTTTAAGTTTTGGTTTTTTCTGAATATATTTGAAGTAAAAAATAAAAAAGGTTTGTTTTCGATTTAATCGATTTTATTTTCAAAAAAATTGAAAAAAATCGATTCGCTGAGAATCGATTTTTTCCCAGCTCTACCTCTTGTTGCAAAAATACATCTATAAGGCTCTAGTAGTATGAAAAGAGCCATTTATAAGGAAACCAGCACAGGAGCAACATCAAAAGTTTTCATAGGAGCTTATAATTCATCCGATTTTTTTTTTGGAATGTTTTTATCTTTACCAATAAGTAATTTAATCCTGATGACAGTCAAAATTATTGGCGGAGACCCAATATTGAGCTAGAAACCAAACACTTGCAAGCTACTCTGAAGCAAGACGGCGATGGTGTCTTATTTGGGCCTAAATGGCTTCCTGTAGAGTAGAACACCAAATTTTTTTTGGCAGGATCTTGGAAACCAATATGTTCCCTTCAATATAAAATGTTAACTTCTTTCAAAATGTAGAAAACGTGGTCCCACGGGATAGTTTGCAAAACTATTAGTGCAGCGGTCCCTACTACTTATCGGACTTTCGGAAGCTTTAGCTCACACAAAACGGTCCTAATGACAAAAAAACAACGTCAATGTCACCCAGACATAATCATTATTTAAAATTTTTAGCAAATATTGGACTAGCCATCCCAAAAATTAAAAGTTTTGACCAAAATTATCAAAAAAGTAGTGCCTTAGAGGAATTGATTAAAATTAATCTAGAAACATTAAAAAAAAACTAGTTAATTCAATTGAAACATCATCTGAAAGGTATTCAGAATAAGATAAGAGGTCACATAAAATTGTTTATATTAAATTAATAAAAATAAGTTAAATCAAACGAAGTGCACGAAATAAGCTGCGGCATGAAAAAAGCCCTCAAATTAGTTTTTATTAAAATACGAAATCGTTTTTATAATTAGGAAGATTGTCTTTGTTCGGTATAAATGTTAGTACAAGTACTAAATGAACTGCGTTTAAATATTTGGATTATCTTCAATCGTTTAGCCACAGGGACGATTTAAATTTTCGTTTCTTGACTGCACGAAATAAGCTGCGATCCACTGTACATACCAGGAATATAAATATTATCATTAATTCTTTAATATGATAACAATTAAATAAGAATATTTTCTATTTTACTTTATAGGTGGAAGCAGCACTGCAAACAGATCCAGAAAATGAAGAGCTTTTAAAACTTAAAAGTGATTTGGGAGAAGTCATTACACTAACTCGTGATTTGATACACACGCAACTAGAAGAGCAGCATAAATCTTCATATGTTGAGCCTTCTTCAACTAAAACTGCTTCGGCAAATTACTTTGACGAAATTGAAGCTGCTCTTTTAGAAGCAGAAAAATTAGTTTCAGCTGCAAAAATTTGGAAAGTTGGCGACAAATGTCAAGCTAAATGGAAAGAGGATCGACAGTATTACGATGCAACTATAGAGGGAATATCAAGCGAAGGAGAAGTAAATGTAATATTTGATGCATATCAAAATCGTTCGACAACAAATGTCAACGAACTCCGAGAATGCAGTACCCGCAACGAAGTTTTCCCTTCAAATAAGTATACATAATAAATACGGTAATCATTCACAGTTGCTAAACCCTTTTTTTTTAGACGTCACAGGCCAAACCAAAAAGAGTATTTAAAAAAAAGAAAACAAAAGAAACAACAGCGCTTCAAAGACTTGGAGGAGGAACGTGAATCAGACAAAAATAAATGGCTGAGTTTTACAAATAAAAATCAAAAGAAAACTGGAATAAAGGTGAAAAGTATATTTGCATCTCCGGATAATGTAAGTGGCCGAGTTGGAGTCGGCACATGTGGAACAGCCGGAAAAGGCATGACTGATTTTACTATAGGCGAAAAATATAGAAAAGGTCTTTAAATGTATAAATGCTCTATTGTTTCCAAGTAAATAAAAACAAAAAACTGTGAGATACGACGGCTACTACTCTTATTAAAACAATTTTCAAGGAATGTCAACATTTATTTTGGTTTCTTTGACTTAAACATAATTTATGCGGACTCATAGGGTACAAGAGTATTAAAATATAATATAATGTGTGTTTATAAATGAATCCGCCCTAGTGTATACTGTTTAATATGATTTTACTTATTTCCGAACAATTACATTTAATATTGTCGACCGCGATGCGTTTGATTGCATTGAGAGCAAAAATGTGACTGATAAAGCTTTGGTCATGCACATCATTCGATGATGCTAGTCGAAGACGTAAACATGTTACAGTTAGTAGTTAGAAATGAATGGAAAATTACTGGGCAAAGCTCGCGCGCAGGTGCAGCGATGTGATGCTCGCTTAGCGACCGCTGATAAGGCTGGAGGTAGCGGCGATCATATCAAAAGGAACGAAACCCAATATAGGGTGTCTCTTTCCCAAACAACTAGAGACATTAAAAGATTATAATTTTTGCATAGAGGATAGTAGAGACAGCTGGGGTGGGGAGTTAGATCAATTCGAGTTTCACGAAAAATCCATATTAGAGTCGATTAAAATAGTAATTGGTAATTGGGCGTTTGTATCAAACGTAAGAACCTTGGATCCAAGTATCCGTCGCATATGAAGCTTTATGGAACGAACGCCGGTTACCCACATTCCGCCAAAATGAGGGGCATATGGGGGTATAAAGTGCCAAGAAATTCCTTCGTTGGCGAAGAATCCAGCCAATTCTTCATTGTTAGATTGTTCGAGAGCTAGGCGTCGCATGTCGCCCAAATATAGCTTCCCGCCACGAAATGTCGTTCCGTTGTCCGAGTACAGCTCGGTGGGCTTCGTTCATCGGGCAACAAATCGCCTTTCCAGTCAGAATCACTGACAACCTCGATATAGATTGCCTTTGTGGTTAGGCAGACAAAAATTGAAAACCATGCCTTTCCGATCCGAGGAGCTCGTCCTGTTGATTCCTTGATGGCGATCGGCGTAATCCAGCCCTGTATGTTGTTACTGGTGCCTTTGCGTTGAAGAAAGCAGCGTTTTCATTGGAAAACTGCCTTTCTGACGAGATTGCGAGCACCCAGAATCCAGTATTGCTGACGAAGATTGGTGAACTTAGCATCAACTCCAGTGTGTAGATTTGAAACGTGGAAATGTCGAACCAGGAGTCCGGCTAGTGGTGAATCCTTTGGTATTAGGATTGGATGCTTGGCTTTGAAGTTGAGTGTAGATTTTTCGATTCTTCCACCGACTCGCATAATTCCAGGATCGTCCAGAAATGGGGAGAACTGAATTAAATGCGATTTAGCATTAAGCGGACGTTGATTCTCTAGCTGCGCATATTCTCTGGCAAAGACATTTTGTTGCACGAGTCGAATGAGTCGTCATCGTGAGGCCTGCAACTCTTCGGATGTAAGGAATGGTGCCGGATTCCTATGACGAGATCGAACAGAGTGAATAAAGCGATAACAGTAGCTAGATACCCTTAGCAAACGCGTCCAGGTTGAGAATTTGTGGATAAGTAACTCGTAGATACTTTTATCTGGAAAGTTATGTAGAGTTGTGGGCTTGACAGATCGCTCTTCGGTGTTGACATCGAGATTTGATGATACGCTGAATTTGCTTGTAGACGGTGGCCACTTAGAGGGCGGTGTGGCCAGCCATGATGGACCCTTCCACCACAGTCGATGCTCCAGAAGCTTGGACGGATGAAGTCCACGAGAAGCACAGTCGGCAGGGTTGTCCTCTGTGCGGACATGATTCCAGCAGCTGCGGGGAAAGTCGTTCAGGATCTCAGCCGTTCGGTTGCAGACGTAGGTGTTCCAGTTTCGTGGAGAAGCTGAAAGCCAGTGTAGCACAATTTCTGAATCTGTCCAGCAGCTCGTGCTGAAAATAGGAATCGTTAGTGAGGCTTTGACAATCGAGAGCAATCGAGAAAGAAGTAACGCAGCATTCAGTTCCAAACGTGGGATTGAAACGGGCAGCAACTAGGGTGATTTGAAAACTGCCTACATATGCTACTCGAGCGTATACAACCGCACCGTAGGCTTGCGCGGATGCGTCGGCGAATCCGTGCAGTTGAACGTCCTGGAATGGTGCGCAATGTATCGTCGTACTTGACATTGCGTAAGTGTTGGCAAATCCTCCACTAAGGCCTTCCAGCGCGAGCGTAGAGTTTCAGGAATCGGGTCATCCCACTGCAGAACACTTGTCCAGCTTTTTTGGAAGAATAGCTTGAGTAGAACTGTGACCGGCGCTACCAATCCAAGCGGGTCATAGATTCTTGATAGCTGCGACAAGAGTTCTCTTTTCGTCGCAGAAATGGTCGGATCGCACTCCTTGATATTGAGGTACATGACGTCCTTTCCGGGATTCCATTGGATGCCAAGAATTTTGATTGGTGACTCCGCAGCTGATTTGTCGAGGAGCTGGATAGGCTCATAACATCGGTCCTCTTCTGGCAATGATTTTAGAAGACGCCAACTGTTGAAACTCCATTTCCGTAGTTTGAATTGCGCCTTATCCAAAAGTTGAATCAGCTCGTTTTTGAGAATCACGAGCTCTTCGAAGGAGTTGCACCCTGTTGGGATATCATCTACATAAGCGTCGTGTAGAAGCGCGTGAGCTGCTGCGGGGAACTCGTGGCGGTGATCCTCAGCTAGTTGCTTGAGAACTCGAACAGCTAGAAATGGTGACGGCGCCAATCCGTAGGTGACCGTCAACAGGCGAAAATGAAGCAGTGGTTCATTCTCTTTCTTGCGCCAAACAATGCGCTGAAAATTGGAGTGCGGCTTGAAGACTTGAATTCCTCGGAACATCTTCTCGATATCCGCGCAGAAAACATATTGGTGCTGCCGGAAACGTAAACAAACTCCGAGAAGATCGCGTTGAATGGGTGGGCCAATTTGAAGTCGATCATTGAGAGACACTCCAGAGCTGTCCTTTCCCGATCCATCGAAAACTAAGCGACATTTTGTAGTCAGACTGTCTAGTTTGATGACAGCGTGGTGCGGCAGATGTGTCTGCGGACTCATCCATTTGAGCCGATGTCAGCTGTTCCATATGACCACGTCGCAAGTAGTCGTCCAGAAATTCTTCGTACTGCTGCTTCAAGTCTGGAGATCGACGAAACTTGCGTTCCAAAGAGAGGAAGCGATTGATGGCCTGCGGTAAAGTTGAATCAACAGGCGGCGCATGCTCCTTGAAGGGGTACTCGACGACGTAAACCTCGTTCTCCAAGCGCGTGTGGGTGGCTGCAAAATGACGCTCTGTGGGATCATTAGCGTCTAAAAGAGCCTGACTAGGCTGTATATTATCCATCCTCATGAAAGAACGACCCATCGTGTCTAGGTCCGCGTGATGAGTAACGGCTGAAGTTAGGTGATCATCGCATGCATTGTACGAGCCTGCAATAATCCAACCAAAAACAGTATTCAGAGCGATAGGACAGTCGTCACCAAAGCATTTTTGTTCTCCAGTATACAGATACCAGAGTTGATCTGATCCAACGATGACATCGATGGATCCTGGCGTGCAGAATGTGGGATCTGCCAAAGGAAGCTCGCGGATTTGCTTTCACGTCGAAGATGAGGTGTCAATAGCCTGGGCCGGAAGTCATGATGTCAGCGAGTTGAGAATAAACGAGACCAGTTCGATAGTTTGGTCCGAATGACGAGAGCGCAGCTTGATATGTGCGCGTCCTCGGGTAACGCCCGCGCTATTGGCAGCGAGGCCGAGTATAGAAATCCGGGCGTGCGTTCGACGTACGCCTATTCGCTGGACAAATGATTCCGACGCCAAGGTGATTGTGGACCCAGTGTCCAAGAGCAGCCTGCAGGTCGAACTAAGTGAAAAGCCTCCAAAGTATCGCAGCGGGAGGTGAGAAATTTCAGAAATTGGTTGATGGTCACACCTTTTTCCTCGGAGTCTGCGCACTGCGCCCAAGCTTGGCAGGTATCGGTATCCAATTTTGACAATAGGATGGAAATTAGCCAGGGATCCCGATCCTCGCAGTTAAGGGCTCGCAAACCACGAATAACTTCATCTGCGCCATCGGCCAGTTTCCGCACTGTGCTAAGATTGGAAGTTGTAGCACTGGGAAGTGTCATGAAACTGTTTGGAAATGATCGGATAATTAGCGATTGTTTGTTATATTGCTGTTCAAGTCGATCCCATGCTTCCCGATAGTTCTCATTAGTTACAGGAATATGTTTGACTAAATTGAGCGCGTCTCCGGATAGCTACGATTTGAGATAATGAAATCTTTGACAATCCGTGAGGCTCGAATTGGAAGCAATCGAGTCCGTAAACATATCCGAAAAATGTTTCCAGTCCTCATGATTCCCGGAAAAGGTTGGGAGTTTGATTCGCTCGAACTGGAAATCCACATGGCTCCTCTGGGGCGCATCTGCTGGTTGCACAGTGGCCGAAATATTGTTAGACGTCTGATCACGCCGTAACTCCTCCAGAGTGTTGCTTAGAATGGCGTGTGTAGCGTAATGTTTCTCCTCATAGGCATCAAAATCGTCGTCGGGATTCTGCCAATCCGACTCCGATTGGAGGGCGTATAGCTCTACCGAATGTCGCACAAACCGCAAATAATTGTCTTGAATTTGCGACAGGCGCACCACTATTGTGTCCACTGATTGGATGTCATCCACAAATTTGAGGGCATTATTATGCGCGCGTGTGATTTGGCTTTTACAAAAGCCCCGTTGTTAAATCACACTCCGCATGGCGATCGCGAAAAGATAACGACTCTATACGATTTTGGAATCTATATATCACCGTTGACAAAAACCTCAATAATTAAATTATTTGGCCGAAAATAAACAGTTTTGGCGAATCCGGCTCGAAGGACCAGTTTTTGGAATGTTTATAAATGAATCCGCCCTAGTGTATACTGTTTAATATGATTTTATTTATTTCCGAACAATTACATTTAATATTGTCGACCGCGATGCGTTTGATTGCATTGAGAGCAAAAATGTTACTGACTAAGCTTTGGCTATGCACGTCATTCGATTATGCTGGTCGAAGACGTAAACAAGTTACAGTTAGGAGTTAGAAATGAATGGAAAATTACTGGGCAGAAGCTCGCGCGCATGTGCAGCGATGCGCTGCTCGCTTAGCGACCGCTGATAAGGCCGCCGGTAGCGGCGATCAAAGCAAAGAGAGAGAAACCCAATACAGGGTGTATCGTTCCCAAACATGTGTGTAAAAAGAGTACAAAACTATATATCTACAATGCTTTGCCTGCTCTACGCTTTTTGGCGAGGGGTAACGGGAAATGATTTGCTTGTTCTCTTTTTAGATTTCGTTTATTACGCACACAATGGATAAGTGTAAGTGGGTTTTGTGTGTATGTGTGCGTGAACGCGGCTACACATTTTGAGACGAAATTTCATATTTGGCTTTGCCAGAGCGAGAGTCAAAAGGCTTTCAAAATCATATTGGTTTTTGTGCATCACAATTTTAATCGGTGCTATGGTCGTGCTAGTTAACGCGTTGGTCGGTGATAACAAAAAGTGGATAGATTCGTAACAATGGCTTTCAATTTCGTGTTTATTTATTTTTTTATTAATAAAATTTCAGATTTTTTTGTAATATTATTTTTTGTACTAAATTATTAAAAACAAGAAAGGAAGCTAACTTCGGCACGCCGAAGTTTGTATACCCTTGCAGATATTATTTCATTACATTTTACCTATAGGTACTTATTATGTTTACAGTTTGACAGTTACAGTTTTGCATTTCCAGCTTTACATTTTCCCTACATCTACCGATCGTTTATATGGCAGCTATATGATATAGTTGTCCGATTTTTTTGAAATTTATACCAAAATTCTAGAATAATAAAATAAGCTTATATCCCGGAGTAGATGAAAATACGTTGAAAAACAACGAATCTATAATTTTTTTTCTATTAATTTCCCGATCGTTCCTATGGCAGCTATATGATATAGTCGTCCGATTTTCATAAAATTTTTACCAAAATTCCGAAATAATATAAAATGGCCATATCTAAAAAATGGTGCAGAAATGTTAAAAAACAGCAAAGTTATAATTATTTTTCTAAAAATATATCGAACATTTGTATGGCAGCTATATGATATAGTCGTCCGATCCGGCCCGTTCCGACATATATAGCAGTGAGAGCATATAGAAGACTATATGCAAAGTTTCATTGAGATAGCTTTAAAACTGAGGGACTAGTTTGCGTAGAAACGGACAGACGGACAGACGGACAGACGGACAGACGGACATGGCTAGATCGACTCGGCTGTTGATGCTGATCAAGAATATATATACTTTATAGGGTCGGAAACGTCTCCTTCACTGCGTTGCAAACTTCTGACTGAAATTATAATACCCTGCAAGGGTATAAAAATTTAAAACAAGAAAGGAAGCTAACATCGGCACGCCGAAGTCTGTATACCCTTGCAGTTTGCAATTGGATCGTGAAAAATCCAACCATTCTAGTAAATTAATAGAAAAAACTAAAAAGAAATATGGGCATTTCCACAGAAAGGTCCACCGCGGCCAAAAAACTTAAACTTCTCTAAAATGTTTTTTTTCCAACATAGTAACATTAGAAAAAAGCCAATTGATTAAATTTGAAGTGCTTTATCATTGACTTTTGACTTTCATAGCGAACGGTCGTGTTTTTGTTTTGCGCTCCGAATTTTTTGTGTTTCTTAGACATTTAAAACCACCGGGGTTCTGTTTATATTGTTAAACTAAAATTTTTAAACTTTGCCGTTCTGCTACGCGAGTGCATGTGCATGTGTCTTTAAGTGTTTAATTGATATATATATCTAATTATTTCACTTTTAGTTTTTGCGTTTTTCTTATCCCCTCTTTGTGTTGTCCCGTTTATTTGCTTCTAGCGGCACTTAGGCGGCTCAAGCTTTCGTTTGTTTTCTCTGCTCACCCACGCTTACGCTCCCGCTCTCTTGTTTTTTTTTTCGGTACTGCTTATCAGCGCACAGTGGTTAAAGGTTTGTGAAAATGGTTTCAAATTTTATTTGCGATATTAAAGGCTGCCAAAAAGAGGTTTTGGCAGATCAGCCCAGCCTTCACTGCTGGCTTTGCGATGCGGTCGTTCACGCTAAGAGTCTAAGCTTAACGGGCCGTATCGCTGACGCAATTTCTGCCAAAAATGGCTTGCGCTATTGTTGCCATGCCTCTCGTGAGGTGGAGAAGGATATGTTATCCTTCATGCGGCAAACCAAAAGCGGATTTAGTGAACTTAGGGTCAATTTTCGTAAAACAAACGAACTGTTCACAGAGCTGGACGCTCAATTTAGCGGCATGAAGCTGTTAAGCGAGCCGCCAAAGCGAAAAAAATCTGCTGCTGGTCGGCTGCAATTGGGCGAACCCCAGCCACCAAAGATTTGGCACACTCCCTCGGCACAGCCCCCGACACCGACACCAACTCCAATGGTGTTAAGATCGGGAACGGCTAAAGATTCGGCATTCGAAGGTGCCGGGGCAGAAATGGCAGCAGCTCCGCCAGTGTTAACAGTTGAGTCCGCTGCGGGGTCTCAATCTCTGACTCCGCAGACGTCAAAAAAAATCTCAGCTATCCCAAAGGGCAAAAATAGGGCTGAGCCACTAGCAGAAGTCGGTAATGCTGCGTTACCAAAGACCCTCACCGCTATTCCACCATTAAAAACAATATTTGTTTCCCGGCTTGCCCCTGATCTTGCATCGGTAGATGTACCATCTCATATACTGAGCAAAACACAAGCCAAAAGTGGGAAAGTGGAAAAATTCAATTTCTCATACCCCAGAGATATCTCAGCTTTCAAGATAAGAGTCTCCCTCGATCTTTTTGACACAATTTGTTCTGGTGACTTCTGGACCAAACACGCTGTAGTCAAGGAGTACGAGGTAAAAATAAAGAAAAAACGGCCTTCACGTCCGGTACAAACCACAGCGACAGCTGGCGTCACGGCAGTACCAAAAAACTAAATACCTCCCTCTTACTTTCCTATCAGAATACTGGAGGCATACGCAGCAAGCTCTCTAAACTGTATTCTGATAGTTTTTCGTTTGCATCCCAGGTGATTGTGTTTACCGAAAGCTGGTTAAAGCCAGAGATTCTCAGCTCCGATATTTTTCCGGGTAAGTACACAACTTATAGATTGGACCGTCTTTCCCAGCGAGGTGGTGGAGTTTTAATTGCCGTTGACTCCACCCTTAGTTCCGAACTGGTTCAAATTGACGATCTCACAGGTATTGAATTTATCTGTGTAAAACTATCATTTCCAGGTAGTTTTATCTATATAACTTGTTCTTACGTTCCTCCATCTGCTGAAGAGCCAAGGTTTCCAACGTAACTTTCAAACCGACGTGATTTACACAGACTTCAGTAAAGCCTTTGACTCGGTTAATCACTCTCTTCTTGTAAGGAAGCTTGACTTAATCGGGTTTCCTGTCGATCTTAAATGGATTTTGAGCTATTTGAGTGACAGAACTCAAAAGGTTCTGTTTAAAAATGCTCTATCCAAATTCCTCAGAGTCACTTCTTTCGTCCCACAGGGTAGCCACCTCGGCCCGTTGCTATTTACATTGTTTATCAATGACCTCCCGCTGGTTCTAACGAACTCTAGAGTACTGATGACGTTAAGCTATGCTTGCAGTATAAGGACAGCTCTGGCCAGTCAGACCTGCAATCGGATCTTAATAACTTTCAAGCATGGTGTCTAAATGCAAGCTGATGACATTTTCACGTGTCACTCCCCAGTCTGCCACATATATGCTAAATGATTGTGCTCTTGAAAGAATATCTCTTGTTGATGATTTAGGCGTTCGCTTAGACCCTAAACTTTCGTTCTCTGAACATATTTCGTGCACGGTTAATAAGGCCAGAGGCATGCTCGGTTTTATTAAGAGGTGGTCGAATTCGATTCCCCTTATATAACGAAGACCCTTTTTACTTCGTTAGTTCGCCCTATATTGGAGTATGGTTCATGCGTCTTGAGTCCTCAATTCGGAATCCATATTAACCGTATTGAATCTGTACAAAAGAACTTTTTACTTTTCGCCCTCCGTGGCCTACCTTGGGATGCTGATGAGAGGCTACCGTCCTATACAAGTAGACTCCTATTAATTAACTTACCCTCCCTAGCTAACCGTAGAACGATGCTTGGTGTCGTATTCCTTCATAACCTAATAAACGGTGTTGTTGAGAGCCCCTTTCTCTTAGGGCAGCTTAACTTCCACGTTCCCCGACTAACATCTAGAACCCTTATCCCTTTAGTAGTAAATCACTGTAGGCGGGAGTTTCTATATTAAAAACTTTAATACTTGTAGAGTTAGCTCGTAGTGTAGCACCGTAGTCACCGTTTTTACTTTTTATTTTACCTATTTAATTATTGTTGCATGACTTGTAGTAGTTATCTCGTAGAGTAGCACTAATTTTGCATGCGTTTTTATTTTTATATTTTGTTTATTTATTTATTTATCTATATGGTTATATATTTTTATTATAATTTCATTATTTTGCATGCGTTTTTATTTATTTATATATTTATAGTTTTATTATATTTATATTATACTTTGTAGTCTCCTAATGTTTCCTCGTTCATTTCGTCTTTCCTTCTAACGCGTCTATCTAGTTCGCGATTCGTGCCGTACGTCACACGGCTGTGCCCCTCGGTCGGTTGGGCGGGAGGTGGAAGCGGGACCCGCGCGAGAAAAAAAAAATATTCTAAAACAAATTTCGAAATATTCGAATGCATATTCGCGGAAACACGATTTTTCATTATTTTGATAAAAAACATCATAAAAATGGGCCTGTTTTCTTTTGATAATAACATCCAAACAGAGGCATTATGCTTTGACTGTTGTTTACTAACATCACTAGAAGAATGCAAAAAGTCTAAATAAAATGGATAAATGCTCTTCTACAGGGTGACAATAAATAACCCGGACAAATTTTGAAGCAATAGATTATGTAAATGTGTTATGATGTAGCCCTTAAATAAATGCATTTATAGATAGCTTGTACTTTTCTGAAACAAATATATTTACATTTTTGTGATTTCCATCAATATGATATTTGTTTCGGGATGTCTAACAATCGTTGTGCAATTTTAAAACAGACCATGCACCGCTAAAACTTCCAGAATTCGCCAGATCGTGAAAAAGCGGATCACTCGGAATTGCAGAGTCTCGGTCAGAAAAATAGTCCGTAAAATCGGAGTGAATCGAGAAAGTATTCGGTTGATTGCAAAAAATGAACTTAATCTCAAGCCCTACAAGCTCCAAAAAGTGCACCTTCTTACGGATGACAATAAGCGCGTGAGACTCCAAAGATGCCGTCAGCTAAAGCGTCGGGCCGCAGGTCAAAAATGGGAGCGTATTCCCTTCACGGACGAGAAGATATTCACCATCGAACAGGCGCACAATCACCAAAATGACGGAAGCTGGCCGGCTGAAGCTCCAGGTACCTCTGCAATAATCGAGCGCCGTCATTGTGAGCAGTCTTTAATGGTTTGGGGAGGAATATGCGCCAACGGCAAAACACCCCTTATTTTCATCGATCAAGCGGTCAAAAGCAATCAGGAAGTGTACCGCAGGGACATTTTGGAAACTGTTGTGCTTCCTTGGGCCCAGCAGCACTTCGGTGATACGGAGTGGACGTTTCAACAGGATTCAGCGCCAGCCCATAGAGCCAAATTGACTCAGGTCTGGTGTAAAGCCAATTTTCCGGACTTTATCATATCCAGTGAATGGCCAGGGTTATTTATTGTCACCCTGTAATTTACTTAAATAGTAAAAAATTACATGCAAAGTATGATGATAAAAACTGTCGCGTGCGAATCTGATTAAAATTAAATAAAAAACAAACTACGCTATATTTCAGCTTGTACATTAAAGCATATGAAAGTTGTGACGAATAACGCACAAATAAATAAATATTATATTAGGGACTAAGAAGAATACACAAATACAAATACAAATACACAAATACATATATATATTAGGGACTAAGAAGAAGACACAAATACAAATACAAATACACAAATACATATATATATAGCAGTAAGAGACAAAACTTGAAGACAAACATATATATTAAGATTTAAGAATAAGCGACAACAACTGAAGACACAAAAGATACCTAGGAAATAAGAGACAATGATTGAAGTAAAATAAAAACAAAGAACAAACAAACCAAAAGAAAACGAGCACCAGTTTGATTTAAATGCGCGCGCGCGCCACGAACAGAGAGAGGTCACACTGGCCCGCTAAGGGTCTGGCCACACTATTATGGCAAATTCCTTCGGGAGCGACAGCCACACTCGAGCGCTCCAGAGCGCTATATAAAGGCGAGCGCCAGCCGTAGAATGGCATTCAGTTTTCGGCCGGCGATCGGTCAAGTCCTCTAACCGGAGCTAACAGGAAGGAGCCGCCCAAGGAGCACAGGACGAGTAAGGTATATTGGTAAAGTGGTAACTAACAGTCGGACCCCGACCATATCTTACGTCTATAACTTGTGGAAGACCTTAGGGCCTCTCTGTACGTCTCGATATTGGAAGACCTAAGGGCCTCCCTATAAGTCGCTATATATCTTAGAAGACCTAAGGGCCTCTAACAACGTCTCGATCTTAGAAGACCTAAGGGCCTCTAACAACTTCTCGATCTTAGAAGACCTAAGGGCCTCTAACAACGTCTCGATCTTAGCAGACCTAAGGGCCTCTAACAACTTCTCGATCTTAGAAGACTTAAGGGCCTCTAACAACTTCTCGATCTTAGAAGACCTAAGGGCCTCTAACAACTTCTCGATCTTAGAAGACCTAAGGGCCTCTAACAACTTCTCGATCTTAGAAGACCTAAGGGCCTCCAACAACTTCTCGATCTTAGAAGACCTAAGGGCCTCTAACAACTTCTCGATCTTAGAAGACCTAAGGGCCTCTACACACTTCTCACCTTAGCAGACCTGAGGGCCTCTACAAACTTCTCATCTTAGAAGACCTCAGGGCCTCTACAAACTCCTCATCTTAGAAGACCTCAGGGCCTCTACAAACTTCTCACCTTAGAAGACCTTAGGGCCTCTACAAACTTCTCATATTAGAAGACCTTAGGGCCTCTACACACTTCTCGCCTTAGAAGACCTTAGGGTCTCTACAACCTCCTAATCTTAGAAGACCTCAGGGCCTCTACCCACCGATTCCTTGGTGGAAGACCTCAGGGCCTCCGCATCCTACACTAACCTGAAAGATCTCAGGGTCTTCGTCGACTCCTCTCACCCTCTAGGAAGCTAGACGACTCGGAGCCCCAGCCCGAGAGCGAGCAACGGACCCCAGGGCAACGGAACGCGCCGTGAAAAGGGACGAGTGGACGGCGGATCACCGGTGACGAAACCCAGCCGAGGAAGGACGACCCGAGCCGGCATACGGCCCCCTGGAGCAGATACTCTCGACGACCAACACCAAAACCCCGCTTTCTTATTTGTACCCGTATATATATATATACAATAAATTGTTTGTCCCAGTATAACCTAACTACGGCTTTCTCCTCTGGAACCCGGATCGAGAACTCCCTTGCAGCAACCACCTCAGACAATAAATAAATATCTGAGACGAACCCTGGCCATCCTTGAGCCCGAGGAATGACCTAACCGTCACAAAGTGACATTATTGCATCACCTTTTAAAATTTCATTAAAATAGTCTCTGCCGTTTCGCTGAAATCAGTGTTTAAACACACCCACTCAAAATCAATATTTGCACCAATTATAGTCCTAGGCAAGAGCCATAAGTTATCATTTATAAAAAAAAAAAAAATGTAAATACTTATAATGTTTACAGTTTGACAGTTACAGTTTTACATTCCTAGACTTACATTTTCTCTACATTTACCGATCGCTTCTATGACAGCTATATGATATAGTTGTCCGATTTTCATAATATTTATTCTGAAATATTAACAAAAGCCCATATCTCAGAGTATATGAAAATACGTTAAAAAACAACGAAGTTATAATTTTTTTTATTAATTTCCCGATCGCTCCTATGGCAGCTATAAGATATAGTCGTCCGAATTTCACAAAATTTGAACCGAAAATCTTAAATATTATAATTTTACCATATCTCAAAAATGATTCATGTGTGATCCATGATCCATGATCTATGTATGTTAAAAACAGCCAAATTATACTTTTTTTCTAAAAATTTATAAAACATTTGTATGGCAGCTATTTGAAATAGTCGTCCGATTTTCATAAAATTAAAACCGAAATTCTGAAATAATAAAAATGGACATATCTCAAAAATGATAAAAATGTATTAAAAAAAACAGCGAAGTTATAATTTCTATCTTTTGTATGGCAGCTATATAATCCGATCCGACATATAGAGCAGGGAGAGTGTAAAAAATGAATGGAGGAAAACATATTTCAACATTATCAGACAAGCGACTTATCCTACAAGTTCCTCAAATTTCCACCTATCTGCAAGTATTTATTTTATTAAAACAGAAATTATAGAACAATACAAAATGTCTGTCATAATAATTTTGATTTTCCGATCATTCCTATGGCAGTTATATGATATAGGCGTCCGCTTTGGCCCGTTAGGGCGTATATACTAGGGAGAATAGTCATACTGTTCTTCCTTCCAAGTCAAAGAATTTACAGCAACTTCAAATTAGCACTGCGGCTAAACTAATAGATAACTGAGTTAAAAATGTTCATATTATTTTAAAAACGCAGTATTTCAGAAGCACTTTGTTTATTTGATTAACATAAAATTATATTCCTAATAATTAAAACAAATAGGAAAATCATATAATTAGGATTAGCTTATATCGCGCAGATCAAAAAATATTCACTAACTTTTTATTTTAACCACTTTTATAATATTCTAAATATACAGAAAACAAGAAAGGAAGCTAACTTCGGCACGCCGAAGTTTGTATACCCTTGCAGATTGGATATCATATTTATATTATAAATTATAATGCCGAAAACAGACACTAAACAGAGTTTCATAACATTTTACCTATACTTATTATGTTTACAGTTTGACAGTTACAGTTATACATTCCCAGCATTACATTTTCTCTACATCTACGGATCGCTTCTATGGCAGCTATATGATATAGTTGTCCGATTTTCATAATATTGTTACCAAAATTCTGAAATAAAACTAAAATCTCATGTCTCAAGGTAGATGAAAATACGTTGAAAAACAACGAAGTTATAATTTTTTCTTTTACTTTCCCTATCGTTCCTATGGCAGCTATAAGATATAGTCGTTCGATTTTCATAAAATTTATACCAAAATTCTGAAATAATACCAAAGTAGATTAAAATACGTTGAAAAACATAGAAGTTGTAATTTTTTTATCTATTAATTTCCCGATCGTTCCTATATCAGCTATATGATATAGTCGTACGATTTTCATAAAATTTTTATTAAAATTCAGAAATAATATGAAATGGTCATATCTAAAAAATGGTGCAAAAATATTGAAAAACAGCAAAGTTTTAATTTTTTTTCTAAAAATTTATTGAACATTTGTATGGCAGCTATATGATATAGTCGTCCGATCCGGCCCGTTCCGACATATATAGCAGTGAGAGTATATAGAAGACTATATGCAAAGTTTCATTCAGATATCAACTTGTGGATAAAAAATCTTCTAAGTTGCCGGCGGGTACAATCAGATTGGGGCACCGCTTCCATGGTGAGAGGAGCGCACAGAGGCACGCCGCAAGGTGGGGTTCTGTCGCCCCTCCTATGGAATCTGGTTGTAGACGACCTAATCAAGAGATTCGAGAGGAAAGCACCAAAGATAACAGCTTATGCGGATGACATAAGCATAATTATCTCGGGAGTCTGTCCATCGACCCTCAGCTCGATCATGGAAACAACACTCAGGGAGATATGTGAGTGGGCGGAGAAGGTAGGACTCAATATCAATGCGGATAAGACCGACCTTATTCTCTTCACCAAGAGATACAAGGTGCCGCAATGGATCCCCCCGAAAATTAACAAAACCAGGCTGACCCCGAAAACACAAGTCAAATACCTCGGCATTGTACTTGACAGCAAGCTGACGTGGAGAGCCAATGTAGTGGAGAGGATAAAAAAGGCCACCATAGCGCTATATGCATCCAAGAAGATGCTTAGCAGCACATGGGGCCTCTCACCCGCTCTAATGCATTGGGTCTACATATCGGTGGTGCGTCCTACTCTGCTGTATGGAGTCTTAGTGTGGTGGCAAGCCACGGAGAAGAAAACGTATAATAAGTTTATGGAGAGAACCCAGCGGCAGGCACTGCTCTGCATATCAGGGGCGCTGAGGTCAACCCCCACCAAAGCACTCGAAACCATAATCGGTATATATCCCCTATATATCTAAGCGCAACTGACAGCAGGAAAGGCGGCACAACGTCTGGTTGCATCAGGAAACTGGTCGCTACAAGGTTTCGGGCACAGTTCAATTGGTCGACACATGAGCAGTACATCTGACTACATGATACCCAGAACGTGCCCGGATGTAAACACAACAGTATTCATGGGACCAAATGACTGGAAGTCAGGCCAGATGGAAAGAGGAGTTGGAGCGGGCATATACTGTTCAGACCCTGAAATGAGGCTGTCGTATAAGCTACCAAGCTACTGCAGTATATTCCAGGCGGAAGTTTTCGCCATCAGGAAAGCAGCAGAGTTTGCGCAGAGCATAAACCGTCCACATGAGGCGGTCAATTTGTTCGTAGACAGTCAAGCGGCGATAAGATCCAATCATCAGCGG